TAGAAGACACAGTGTTCAATCTAAAACAAACAAACCTTCATATCTTCGAACTTTTTCTTTATTATCTATCGAATCAGTTCATTAATAAATTGCAAATGATGTCTAAATATGTACCATCGTATAATTTAGCGTAGTAATTGTTCGAAATGTTGACCACCAACTTCCATACAATAATAGAGATTCTGCTCGAAACTGCTGACGTTGTCGCACATTCTGGAGCATTTGTAGGGTGATTTGACGGCATTCGTTGATGATACGTTGACGTAATAAATATTGTATTATTAAAAGATTTATTAAATAACAACATAAAGATTGTTCTTGCAGAACCAGAATTCGGATTTTCTTGAAATATACACGAATTTTGTGTTATGATATGCATTTTATATACGAGATATTTTATACATATAAGCAAAAATGTAAAAATTTATAAGCAATTTTTATATTTTATATTTTATATTAAAATGATTTGAGTCTCATTTTTTTGTTGTACAATATTATATTTTGTTATATTGTATTGTGTCTGATTACTTTGTATATTATAATTCTTCCTTTATCTTCTTTTTTTTTTGGTATCAATTAAGTACATTGCATGAAAATATTAAATTTGTATGTAATACATAAAGACATTCAAATCCAGCCAACCTCAAGTTACACGTAACTAAGGCACTATGATGTGTAGATATTTCTATCCGCCATTTTGGTTCTACTTGATTGTCATAGTACTATTAGTCACTGCTGTGACAGATTTTCTAACCCGAATAGTCGTCCACTTTAAGGATTAATGTCTCGGTTCGCAGGACAGAGTAACACTTTTTTCTTGTCAAATCCTTATTTTTACGCGAAAACGCATCGATTCAGTGTATTTTTATCAAAATTTGAGCTCTTTTTAACATATACCTTTGTCACTAATCGTACTGTAACCTATCAATCAAGTGGAATTAAGATGGCGGATGAGAATACCTCCATATTTAGTGCCTTAACGTAAAGCTGGTTCTACATTAGTCGCATTGCAGCGTCGCAAGCGTTGTGGTCCAATCAACGTCAAGCTAGCTCGACTCTAATTGAACCATAACTACAGTAGAAGGATCATACAGTAGGATCAAACAGTGTCGACACCTTTGATCTTTTTCAGACGCATCATCAGACTGCGCTAGAGATCCTATTGGCTCCGCCATTAAATCGGGAGGTTAGTACCGTATTAATAGTATTAGGGACCATCGCCATTAGTAAATTTTTTTGCTTATATTACGAAAATAATTACAAGTTTCCGAATAATAAATCAAAGGAATATATTGAATTAGTGAAATGACTGTATATAATATTAAAAATACTTTAGTTATACTAATATAAAAAAGACAAGTGATTCAATGACATAAGAGCATCAATAGCAAGTAAACATTACTGTACATAATCACAAATAACAATATAACAAGTTATGTCAAAGTACAACTTGAGTCATAAGTTAATAATCATGCACAATTGTCACATGCAATAAAAGAATTAAACAAAAACATTTATCAACATTTATAAAACACTTATACATAAAGATAAGAAATTAACTGTAATAAGATTTCAATAAATATAACATATAAAGCAAAGAAATGCTATACAAAGTAATAACTAAGTTGAATTAACGGGCAACGTAAAAAATCAGTTTTCAGGCACTCTTCAATATTGTAAAAAAAAACCGAGAGGTCCCCGGATATTCAGATTCAAGGAAATCACGATCTTTCAAATATGTCGATGATAAGTTGTAACTCACTTTCATTAGATTCATTGGAAACACTGATACATTTCCCTTGGTAGTCACAAATGTAATCCGAACTTTTGGTTCTGTACCACTGCCAGCTGTGACACAGTAACGGAGATGCAATAGCCACTTTACTAAGAACGGGATTGGCTACCCAAAGTTATGGCTGCTTAGGATGCGCAAGCAAATCTGCGCGTCTGACTCGAAAACGGGGTATTGATCCTACTGTATGATCCTTATACTGTGCCATAACGCTTGCGACATTACGATGCGACTAATGTAGAACCAGCTTTGTAGTAATGTAGTAATGTAGAACCAGCAATTAGTTGTAATTTGCCATAAGAATATAAATGTAATATATAAATAATTGGGTGCGTTCAAGTTGACAAAGCGGCTAGCCTACTCGCTGAGCAAATGAATATAATTGATTGTTACTTATAAATCCAACCAATCATATTCAATTGCTCGGTAAGCATGCCTAGCCGCTAACCGCTTTGCTGTCTTGAACTCGCCCACTGTAAACTGTAATGCGTCTACAATAGAAGTCGTAGCGGTCGTAAGGTCTTAAGTCATAGAAAATTGACTAATCACAGTCGAATATGAGAAGAATAATCAACTGTGATTGGTCAATTTTCTACGACTTAAGATCCTACGACCGCTACGACTTCTATTGTAGACCCCGCATAAAGCTGGTTCTACATTAGTCACATTGCAGCGTCGCAAGTGTTGCGGTTCAATCATCATCAAGCTAGCTCGATTTTGATTGGATCATAATGCTTGCGACATTGCGATGCGATTAATGTAGAACCAGCTTTAAGGGGATGCTGGATCAATGGCCGAATTTGATCGAGGTCGATAGTACAGACTTTTTTTAATTCCAAATTCAATAATAGTGACATCTTTCATTCATTTTTTATATTTATTATATATCGTTGTGTCTCGCTCAAACGCATTCATTTGTCCTTATCTAACATATTGCAACGCCACCTCTTAGGCCGGAATCAGACTACGCATCGAATATTGAGATTGAAGATTGAAAGATTGAAATTTGACCAATCAAAACAATAGGAGCTAAAATTCCTTTATCCTCACTGGTCAAATTTTAATCTTCAATCTTCAATCTCAATCTTCAATGCATAGTCTGATTCCGGCCTTAGAAGACCGAACACCTATTGCTAGACACAATTATTGCTTTGTTTATTATTCCGAGTCTTCGCTCAGCATTCGTACACGTCATTTGCAGATCGATATAAATCTTTCTTTTGAAGCTTTTAATCTTAGTTTCATAAATTCAGTATTGTTTGTGCACGTAATGCGCTGAGTGCTGCACTGTCATTTGGTCCATACGAGCTATAACACTTTTGTATTAAGGAAACATCTACGTCAGGTGACAGCTCTACGAGTTCAAAAAATGTAAGTTTTTAACTTTTTTCACGATTTTAGTATAAAGTCTATTGCAGCACTCCTAAATTTTGTGTCTACTTTAAGCCTGTAAAGGATTTTTGATTCCGTTCAGTAAATTCGGAGATTTATATCGATCTGCAAAATCCCGACAATTTGGCCACTCCAACATTCCCTTAAGTTAGTTCTGCATTGATCGCATCGCAGCGTCGCAAGCGTGTCGCAAGCGTTGCAGTCCAATCAGAGTCGAGTTAGCTTGACGTTGATTGAACCGCGACGTTTGCGACGCTGCGATCCGACTAATGTAGAACCAGCTTAATGTAAAACCAGCTTTAATTGTTAAGTTGGTTCTACATTAGTCGCATCGCAGCGTCGCAAGCGTTGCGGTCCAATCAACATCAAGCTAACTCAACTCTGATTGGACTGCAACGCTTGCGACACGCTTGCGACATTGCGATGCGACTAATGTAGAACCAGCTTTACATGTAACTTGATATTTGCTGAGAAAAAAAGGACCGCCATTAAAAATTGGTGAGGTTAGTGGAGGACTTCTACAGGTTGATTCATTTTTATTCATTTAAATTTTCTTTACAATTTTAAATTCAATGTAATTTGCTTACAATTAGAAGAGTTCCAACCTTTATTCAAATTGCAAATTGCAATATGATAAAGTAGCGCATTGATTGGTCCGCCATGTTTCAGGAATTCCCGTCCTATATTTGAATACCTATATATATGTGTGTTACTTTCAAATTTCAACTAATTAAAATTAGATATTTTAAAGGTATTGACAAATAAATTTCTTACATTTGTGGTGCGTTCGGAGAGATGTTATTAGCGCTACTTCTGTCATTCTATTTTCGTTGTTTATTAGAACATAAAACAAGGGTAAAATGACACAAATGGCGCTAATAGCGTCTCCCTGAACGCACCTATTACAATCGACTTTGAATCGTATGAATGCTCTGCTTTTTTGGACGTGACGATACAAAACAGTTTTTATTGGATATCACTCATCATGGATCCAGTGTGCAATAGGCATTAAGGCCGATATTCATAGTCTGTTCTTATTTTAAGGCCATCTTAAGTGATGTCCTAAAATGCTAATATAGCTTTCTGATTGATTCATGGCATCTTAAAGGCCATCACACGTACAAAAATTTTAGTCGTAATCGTAAGGTCGCAAGTAAATCGACCAATTACAATCAAAATTACGATCTCGCGTTTAAAAACGTTCGATTGTGATTGGCCGATTTGCTTACGGCCTTACGATTACGACTAAAATTTTTGTACGTGTGATGGCCTTAAGACTGTACTTAAGACGATCTTAAATATAAGATTTGAATACAAGCAGAACACAAAACTGTGAATACAGGCAGAGGGAAATCTGAATATTTGATAGATTTTAGTTATTTCAGCAATTTCAGCGATTTATTTCCTGATTATATCAGGAGCACCGCAAAAAAAAAAAATGAATATTGGCTGCGTTCAGCAGACTCAACAGTTTTGCAACCGTTGTATGATTCGTCGCGCTGATTGGATTATACTTTTAGATTTAAAGGAATATCTCCTATCTCAGCGAAGAATCATAAAACGATTGCAAAACTATTGAGTCTGCTGAACGCAACCATTGTTGTGTAGTTTACATCCATTTCTTCAGAGGGCAGTAGTGCGCGGCGGCAGTTTGCGGTTACAGGAAAAAGACCCTCACAAACCCCCATGAACCATAATTTCTCTTGATACGATTTTATCGACAGTGTCAGAAAATGGATGTAGTCACGTAGTTCCTAAACTGAAAATGGACTTACTGGCGGTAGTGTACGGGCCATTTCGACAGAAATAGGAAAAATGCACTTTCTAGTATTACATATGTGGGTTGTATTTACTGTTGTTTTCACTGTGTTTTTATGTAAAATTAACGGTTGGTATTTTTTTGTGAAGATTTTCATTGTTATATAATATTTTAATATCTTGGTTATTAATGTGATATTGTCACAAGTAATATTATCACAAATAATTATTCAGTAGTCTTACTTCTGATTTTGATAAATTTAGGCTCATTCGACCCATTTTTTAAATATTAATTAACGTAGACAATTTGTTAATTACTACTAATAATGTATTTCAGGTAAATGGGAATACTATTAATGACAATACGATTAACCATGTCATTATTGATGGATGGGATTGCATATAATGTAGCAAAAACAGTTATAAACATAAACATTTTGAAACAGATAGAAGATGACCTTGAAATAGATGAGAAGATTTCTATATTATTCATGATATTCGATTATGCAAGTGGATTTAACAATATTTTTGAACTTTTTAAAATAAATACAAAAAATGCGTACATAATTGTAGACTATGTAAAAAATAACCCAGAAAATTGGGAAGAAAAAGTCTTAGAAGCGTTATGTATTTTGAATAATCGACAAGTGCTAAAGAAGCTAGGAATATCATTCAGTGTTCTAGATTTACAGTATGTTCCAAAGCTCACATCATATTCAAAAAGTATAAATGTAATTGCAAAGTGTTTATATAAATTATGTGAATCCTTAAATGAAAGTGAACAAAAATTATTATTGAACTATGTCAAATCTGAAATCCATAATTATGAACCATTATTGGACAATGTAGATTATCTTGAATTACATATGCTTTATTGGATACAAATTGGATATATAACAATTTCAAAAGGTATGTTTACTTCAATATATATAATTTTTGATAAGAGTGTATTTATACGAGTAAAAAGTAACAATATTAAAAAAAATTTTATAATTTTGAAAAAAATGTTTTAATTACATATGTATAGCAATATGTTGCAACTTATTTAAAACTATGATGAAACTTCTAAAGAGATAAATAGCAAATTAATAACAAATTGTTTTAAACTATGTATTATATATATATATGTTTTAGAGAAACAGAATTTTATTTAATTACCTGAGATATAATATATATATATATATAATATTATATATATCTCAGGTAATTAAAATTCTGTTTTTCCAAAAATACAAAATTTGTAAAAATTAAAGTATTTGACGCAGGAAACTCGATAGATTGCATCCAGTGACATTGAAAACATGCAGAGTATATAGAGAAAATCGGAAAGTAGGTGACATTTTAAAAATTGACCTAGAATGAATATTTCATTATTCTGGTTTGTACTGATTGTTTAATACTTGTACCAGTTAACAACTTCTATTTAATTATCATATTTTGATGATGCATGCAAATGTATTCATGATAAATGCTAATGCATATTGCATCTTAGTACATTGTTCTTTATAAGCACCATCAAAATTTAAATAATTTAATAGAAAATCACTAGTTGGTATAAGTATTTAAATGATTTTTGTAAATTAGGTTATTAGGTATTCATGTTTGTATGTTGTATGAGGTTAAACTTAGAACGAAGGTTCAAAGGATATGCTAAGCTTTTCAAGAAGATATGGTTTTTGTTTTAACTTTTAACTTGTATAGTATGCAAGCACGAATAATTGAAATTGGAGTACTTATTTTTTGCAGGTTACTTTTCATAATGTTATAGCACCTCTTTTTCAATTTTTTGTATATAAACTTTATAAATCTTGTTTTTATCGTTATTGATATTGTATACCAATCTATGGAGTTTTTTGTGTCTCATGTAGTTCTGAAAAATGATAGAATTTTTTTAGTTACTCTTAATATCAGAGTTGGGAAGCGTTACTTTTTCCGTTATTTTTTGTAATAAATATGATGTTGCAATTTTTTATAACTATAAATGTTAAGATTGTGCCAAGGTTGGAAAAATCGACTTTTTCAACCGTAGCACAACCTTAACATTTAAAAAGTTATAAAAAATTGCAACGTCATGTTTATTACAAAAAGTAATGGAAAAAGTAATGCTTCCCAACTCTGCTTAGTACATATACACACATGTAGATACATACTATTTTGTTTCTGTTTACGTATATCTAATAAACTCAAAATATTTTTAAATTAAAAAGTTTTTATATTATTCTATTTTAGATAAAATGCATAATATGAAAAAATTATTAAAACATTTGAAAAAATTTGAAGATGGCCATATAAAAATAATTTGTATGGAAATGGAAAAATTTGAGAATGGTCTACATGTTGTTGATAACTGTAAAACTTTTGGAACAAATAATGAAAATTACTTACAATCAACTCCTTCAGAAGAATCGTCTTTTATCAAAAGGCATTACAGAAAAAAAATACAGTTAATTAACAGTGGATTGTGTATTATCATAAATCAGATGTATTTTATGAAGGAGGTATTACTATTTTAATTAGTGCTGAAAATATATATGTTCTATATTTTTATCTTTTTAGTATGAAACACGATTTGGAACAAGAGCAGATTGTATTAATTTATCTGAAACATTTAAAACCTTTGGGTTCAGAGTCGAGATATTTCAAAATCTAAAGAAAAATGAAATATTAGAGAAAATAAAAAACATTTCGAAAGACTATGGTATTAAGTATGATTGTTTATTTCTCTGTATTCTAAGTCATGGATACAAAGGTGAATAATATATTCAGCAATAAGAATTTTTTTGAAGTATATAAACTTTTTTCTGCTTCAAAATATTATATAATTATTATAAAAATATCTCAATAGAATAATCGTGATAAAATCATATCATGCTGCATGTTTAAGGCTTTTGTTCATTATTATTATCTTAAATTATAACATCAGAAGTGAAAAAAAGTACAATAAGTATTCTTGCAGATTACTTTTAAATAGAAATATTTTTGATTAAACATTTGCAATCGTGATAAAATAGACTTATAAAATTATATAATAAAAAATTATATATTGAAAACTGTCTACTTGTTTCGGAGAGAAATTAAATTATATTTATTTCTATATATTATTAATTTGAACACACAATTCGAAAATTTGTTATGTGTCTGTGAATATGAAATGGAGAATTCTCTGATTGATTTTCTTATATCTTACGCATTACGCAGCATTATGCAAAAGTCTATGTTACTATATTCCATACAGCACATTTTATCCAAGGGACGTCTTAGAATGTTTTTAGTACATAGGAAGATTCTCGGAATGTCTTTCGAACGTCTCGTGAAATTATGTGCTGAATGGGATGATTATATTTATTAATTAACGAAGAAAAAGGAGAGTTTTTGATACATGTGTTATAAGTTGATTTTATTTATTGTGTTTTATTGAAATATATTTCCATATATTAATATAATTTCCAAGAATTTTTATTGTGTATTTTTTCGATTCTAACATCACAGGCTGAAATAATAATGAGTGAACAGGAGTTTTAACTGATTTATTTATTTTTATTAATTAATTTATATTTAAGATTAATGAATAGTAAATGATGAGTTTATATCATAGGAGGCATAATTGCATCAGATGAGGAAGAAGTTTCTCTGGAAACAATAGAAAGGGCTCTTTGTTGTTTGGAATTGAAAGATGTTATAAAAATTGTTATTATTCAAGCTTGTCAAGGAAAAATATGTGGTAACAAGAAAGTTATGCAAAAGTTAAAGTTATAATAAAAATATCGTATTACAATTACAAATTTAATATAGCGTGTTACAAAAAATATCATTTTAAAGATTTCAATGTTTTGTGTTTATTGATGTCTTTTTTTATAATTTTGAAAGACACAATATGTTAAAAAATTGCTTAAATATACTATTGTTTACATATATCAGATATGCTTATATACATTAAAAGTTTTTTTTTTGCAATACACATATTGTAAAATATGTTATTAAAGAAATACTATATATAGCAGATTTTATTTCTAGGAACTGTAAGCAATTCCTTGACAACAGATGGTTTATATGATTCTTTTACACCCACAGAAGATATACGCCAATTTGCGAACTTTTTTATGTTTATGTCGACAATACAAGGTTTTCTATCAATACGTCATCAAAAACAAGGTAAATAATTGAGCTGTATTTTATAGAGATCTCCTATATTTTTCCTTCATTTAGTAGGGTGTCCATCAATTCTTAAATGTTCTTGAATTTTGGAATTTAAGTATCCTGAGAAATTCCTGAGAAAAAAATTCCTCTGTAATTTCAGAACTGATTTGGAATTTTTGTCTTTCTTTTCTTAAAAAAAAAATTGAATCATGAAGAAAGAAAGAAATAAATATTTTCCGTGCGTGCGTAAGAACTATGTCGGTAACGATAAATTTTATGATGATTTTAGATCTTTAGCTTTAAAGGCAAGTGCGGACATTAAAAATTAGATTAATAATTTAATAAAGCACCAATAAATTAATAATTGTGTAAGGTGATGTTAATAAAAAGAAAAGTTATGTTTGATTTAAGCCCTTTCTTAAATGAGTAATAAGGCAACTTACTAGTGGAAAGCAAGTTACTTGGATTTAAAGGGATCCTAAAGCGAAGCTCGAACTCCGACAAATTCACTAGATGTCGCTGTTTTTCCAGCGCATCGACATCCTTTATATACTACCACATCAATATCTCACGTACACATACGTACAAATTTTCTAACTAACTATCTTTCGTATTAAGTATCTAAACCTAATTTTAATTAACTCAACATTGGTTGTTCATGTAATCCCTAGTCCAAACCGAGCTAATTTTATAGATACAAAGTACAAAACTTTTATAAAGCAAATATTGTTACGAGTCGCCAGAAGCCAATAACAAAACTGTAAAATTTTCCAACTTTTTTTCGTTTTTCGCACCAAGTCAAACGGTTTGAACTACATTATCGCTTATATTTTAATTGTGGAGAAGGATTTTTAATTCTGTAAAAGCAGTTAGGAAAATACTTAATTGAAAAATAATCGGTAAAACAGCACGACTTTAGGATCCCCTTAATCTACAATCATATAAAATATAGCAGAGATTATCGTTTGAATGTTTATTTGATATTATTTATAAAGCATTAAGTAATATTGTTCTAAATTTGTTTGCATTTTAATTAATTTGTCATATAGAATGTTAACTTGAATACAAACATAATATTGCGCGAATCAATGAAAATTAATTAATTAATAAAAATTAATCTACCTAGAAAAATCGAGATGTTTACTTGGAATGTCAGTTATTCTTGAATTGACTAGCCAGATATTGCTGGACATCCTGTTTACATTGAATTGTCTGTGTGTAATTCCATATTTTTAATTATTAAGAGAATATTCTCGCTTTTGATACCATTTTATAACCACTTTTTAGGAATTTTTTTTTAATATAACACCCATAATTTGAAATTTGTTGCATTTATTCTTTGATATTTGAATGTTCTTTACAAATCTTTTTAAACATTATAAACGATTTTCTTGATATTTATTAACAAATTTATATGGACATGTAACAAAATACCTGTTTATTGTTGCCATAATTTAAGATGCAGAAATTATCTGAAACAAAACATTTAAAAAGATTCTTATCTATATAAGTATAGTTCTCGTCCAACCTACAATCAAACTAAAAAATTGATTTTTGCAAAAAATGGAAAATATTTGAGAAAAATTTTTGATTTTTAAAATTTATTTTTGAACTTCTTTCTAACTATATTTACATTTAATCGCTCTATGAGCAAGGCTGAATTATGATGCATCGACGAGATACTATTAAAGACTACCGGCCGTGGGCAAATTTTCGTGACTATAAATTCACACAGAATTATATAAGCTGGACTGTTTAAGGCATTTATTTCTATAGGTTATAATTTTTTCTTTTATAAGTTCGTATATGCAAGGTGTTAGTGAAAAAGGGTCACAGACTTTAAGTGCATACAGAACAACAAAAAATAAGTCAAAAAGTCCTAATAAACATAAGTCCGAAAACGAACGGTAATCAAGATATTTCTTGGTCTTTGTTTAAATAATATATTTCCTTCAAATCGACTTAACAATAATGTAACGCAAAAAAAATGCATTTACTGTTTTTTTTTTAAGTTATTTTTATTTATTTTTATTATTCCTTAAAGTACATATTCGGAGTGTCCACCTTTCATATCTAAACAAGCTCTACATCTTCTGAAGAAAGACTCCCACACTCTTCAAAAAAATGCCCGCTCTTGCTCTCGATCTTTATTTACAAACATTTCGGGCCGATTTTTGAGTGAATTTCTGAAGAGCAATTTCTGAGAGCAAAGTAAAACAATTCAGGCAAGAGCGGACATTTTTGAAAAGAGAGAGAGTGAGGGTGTCTTTCAAAACTTTTGGAAAAGTTCTCAAGACGTCTTTCTGATTATCTGCAAAGACGCATTTTTTATAAAGTCGGAAAGATGTCTTAAAAACGACTTTTGGAAAAGTCCTCAAGATGTCTAGTTTAAGACGTCTATTGGATGTCTTTCCGACATGTGTATAATGCTCGTATTCATAGTCAGACCTTGTACTTAAGGCTTCCTTAAATTTATCTTTAGATGCTCAATAGCCAATGAAATCATTCGTGGAGCATTTAAAGATAAATTTAAGGAAGCCTTAAATATAAGGCCCGACTATGAATACGGGTCTTGGTCTTATTAAATCGGTAAAATAGCGACCTTGTTGGATATGTTTGTCGGGACTTCACTTCAGGATCCTTAATCTTATATTTTTCCATTTTTTTTCAGGGTCATGGTTCATACAAGAAGTTTGTAGAATTTTCAAAACTTATGGGAATCAATTAAGTTTTTATGATTGTGTCAGAGAAATAATGAAATCTATTCGAGAAAAAAAAGGAACAATAGATGGGAATCAGATTGCACAATTAACAGAAATACGACTGGATCGTTTGGAATCAGATTTTCAATTAAAGCAAATTGACTCTGCAGTTTAACTAGAAAGCAATCGTATATTATAAATATTGTACCTTATAAAAGTAGATATATTCAGATAAACAATTTATATATTTATTGTGACAAAAATAGTTTTTAAAGTTAAAGCTCCTAAGTATAGTCGCCAAAGTCATATTGAATCGTGACGTCAGAAGCTAGAAACGACACGTTAATTTTTATTAAGTACGTGCTATTTGTAAATAAAGATAATTTGGATAAAATGAAATGATGAGATCACTTTAAAACAATTGTAAAAATGAAGAATTCAATTCGGTAAAGCCAAACAGATTATGACAGGATGCATGAGAGATAGGTGTCGATATATTCTAAAAATATATAGGGAGGAATTAGGAGGTGAAAGAGAAATTGCAAGAATTTCGATGGAAGGATCAAGAGGAAAGGTAATCTCAAGATAATAATAAGGGCAGGGAATTGCTTTTATTATTGAGGCCTGAAAATTTATAAGGCATAATGCACATTATAAGTAAAATTATGAAGGGTATTGAATTTGCTGTAGACAAAGACTAAAAAATGAGTTTGTCAAAAAGTCTGGAAGACCGCTAACAAGTTGATGAAAGAAAGCGGTAAGCGAATGAAAGAAATTGTAACTCTTGTGAGAGGGGGAGGGGTAATGCGTGAATCGGACTATAGCTTAAAAGTACGCTAAGGCGTGGGACTCTTATATTTGTGCGTTTTTATCGAATGACAAATTTTTTAAGTCTGTTGATTGCATAGGAAAGATCCGAGAACCTCTCAGCTGTTCTGCAGCCTTTGTCGTACGATAAAAACGAATAAACGAAATATCACTCTAAGTCCCAAGCAACTTTTTTATATATTTATTTAAATGCTCTGCAGAATTTTACGAAAGATGCAAAAAATGATTACAGGATTGGAATTGAGGTATATAAAATTTGGTTGTTTAGCCTTTATTTCTTAATTGTTTGTGCTTTTCATATACGAGTAGAAGTCTTCATAAAATAATACTTTAATGTTATTTTAATTATTATATTTATAAAAGGAATAATAGACTACTTCGAGCCTAATGTGATTATATTATCAAGGATAATTGACTATATTTATATACAGGTTTATATGTATGTATGTATATTAAACTTTATTTTCATGACAATAGAAAAAATAAATTATATATTTTACAATTTAATTTCTCGATCTTAAATATTCCAAAATATGTTTATAGTATGTTATTATATATTACTGTGTTTCATTGAATTGATACAAGCATCAGTTATAACACGTATTATAAAGAAATACAGAAACTCAAAGATAGACATGAGACTGAAACCAGCAAATAGTCCAAGTAAACCGCCAAATGATGCTGCAAATATTAATAAATATTATTTTCATAAATAATCTTATCGCGAATTTTCATGGAAGGACACTTATTTAACGTGTTTCGCGAAGCGAAAGGAGATGCCTGAAGTGACGGAATTATCAACATTATAGGTATAAGAGTGTCCTTGACTACGTTTACACAGTCCGATTTACACCGAAGTTATAACATCGATGTTATGGAACTAACCAATCATAGCTATTCTTCTAAAGAATGGGATGACTGTGATTGGTCAATTTCGTAACATCGATGTTATAACTTCGGCGTAAATCGAACCGTGTAAACATAGTCTTTGAATTGACTGAATGCAATAAGAAATTCTGTTTCAAGATTGAAGTAGATGTATAATAAGATTGGTTTATTGCAAAGGAAGGTGCCAGTACTGAAGCGACTAGCTCTAAAATCAATATAACGAATCCACCTGAGAAGCCACCAAATTCTTTGCATTAGCAGTGAATTTATGTATTTAAAGCAGTGAATTTTTATTTTTGAAACAGTACTTTTGTGTTTTTGAAGCACCATAGAGCATGAAAATGTGACCGCAGCGCATGCTCGCAGCGCATGCTCGCAGCGCAGTATTTCGCGGCTGTGACATATTTTCTAATCTGAATAATCGTCAACTTTAATGCTGATTCTACAATGGGTGCGTTCAGCAGAACGCAACAGTTTTGCAACTGTTTTATGATTGTCTGCTGAATGGTCCTAGATGCACTCAGCGTCTCAGATTAGGTCTGTTCGCGTTGCATGAAATCCCCAAATATTTTTGCACTTAAAATAAGATAAATATATATTTGGCCTTGAAAAGAGAGAAAGCGAAGATGCCGAGTGCCAAAAGTGCAAGCAACGCGAACAGACCTCATGTTTATTCAGCAGTCGCCATGATTTCCAGCAAATTAGGCTGCAAAGTATGGCTGCAAAGCTATTGCATCTCTTTATCAAATATGTACTCTCCATAGTATTGCGTTTCAGGATTCTATGTATTTTTTTTTACAAAAAATATCACATTGCGGAATCCGGATGCTAATTTTTGGATCTCTTTCGTATTTCACTCAAAATTTCACATGGATTCGAAACAACACAGCACCAGGGAATAATCCTGAAACACTACTATATGATGATGAAATATTTGATAAAGAGATGCAATTGCTTTGCAGCCATTTTGCTCAACACGTTCGTTTCGTTTGACTCAGTATACTTTCATTTTGTTGGAAATCATGGCGACTGCTGAATAAACATGTTGAGACGTTGAATGCATCTAGAAAAGTTCAGCAAACAATCATAAAACGGTTGCAAAACTGTTGCCTTCTACTGCGCAATGCAGTCTTACTTTGCTGGAAATCATAGCAGCCGCTGAATAAACATGTTGAGCACGGTGCCAGGTCTCTAGATTTTGACTGAAGACTCCAGTTTTCGGGACCAATCTCCAGTTCTCTAGCAGACGGGAAAGATCTCCAGTTTTTCGCTCGCGTGTGGTTATTCTATTAATTATACTATCCAATGATGTCCGTGTAATATTTAAATTATGTGGAGAGAGTAATAAGAAAGTCTGTGATTATGTTTGCAGTTTATGTTATTTTACGAATAATAAAAAAGTTTGTGTGTAATTGTGTTCGCACTGTATGTAATTTTGTAATAATAATAAAAAGGTCTCTGTGATTGTGTTGACACTTTATGTTAGTCAAATATTAATAATAAAAAGAAAATCTGTAACAGCGATCGCAAAACGTGAATTAAATCCTGCGCCCCCCCCTTTTTTTTTTTTTTTTTTTTGAGAAACAATCGACTGGCCTCCAGTCGAAATATGAAATATGAACAGTGCATGGACCTTCGGACCCCAGCTGTACAATGCTCAGGACCTGGCAACCGTGATGTTAAGACGTGAGGGCATCTAGAACCGTTCAGCAGACAATCACAAAACGGTTGTAAAACTTACGTTCTGCTGAATGCAACCATTGAGTCGGTAATCGGAAATCTTAATTCTTAATCAGTTTTAACCTAAATAGGTGACTATGATTTTTCTACTAGTTATTAATTGCACAGCGAGTCGTTTAGCTCGATTAATGGAAAAGAATAAAGTCGAATTTGGTCAGTCTTAAGAAATCGGTAGTCTTAGTCGTACAAGTTGGCTGTTGGCTGATTCACCGATAAGACTTAGGACTACCGACTACCGACTCATTGTAGAATCAGCTTTTTGCTTAACTCGATTCGCGGAGCAGAGCGACACTTTTTTCTTGTCAAAGCTTTATTTTTACGCGAAAACGTATCGATTCAGTGTATTTTTATGCCATTTTGAAATGGACAGGGTCTCCTGTACATTACTTTTTTTTGTGTGTACTTTAATTCTGTAAATACAATTTTCTCTCTTATCCGTAAATCCAATTCGAAAAATTATCGCCAAATGGAATTGATGATAAAGTAGGGCAACTTTAGGATCTCCTTATTAGTAAATCGCTTCGCGAGGGTTCACTTTTTTTCTGTCATTCTTTCGTTTTGTATCAAAACGCATTATACATGAGTATATTTTATCAAAATTCGTGATGAAGTATTCTAAATTCTCACCGACATTTTATAAGACATAAAAACTTTATCTTACCAAAAACATTGCGCCAACTATAATTAACTGATCGTCGATATTGGAAAGCAACCAAATCGTTGAAAAATATATGTATTATACTATGATTGAATATGTTGGTAGTGTTACTGTAAAATTATAATAATATCATTAAAACATACAGAGATAATATATTTTGGCTGTTTTCCGTTATTCACTATTATGCAATTTCATGCAGCGAAAGAAAGTTGACTTTTTACCTCCACTCCACCAAAATCAAAGCAGCGTTCGAAAGCTGTTCGCTCTTCTCCTGCTTCTTTTTCATGGAGCGTATCTTCGCTGACTTTAAGTTAACGAATACACTCATTTATTTTCGCTAGCTTTTAATTCATTTTAATAAAAATGGATTACGAAAATGAAAACACATCGAGTGTAAAAGTCTAAAAGAATATATCCGTATAGTAGCAGCTGTAGCTGCCGCAAAGATTCGGAGGCGACGCATAGCCGTTGCAATTGCTAATATACAATTACTAAAAAAGAAAAAGTAGGATAACACTTATTTCCAAAAATCGCAGCGAACATGGCTTTTTCTTTGCTTCGCTCCCAAAATTAATCTTGGAAGACATACGATTCCATAAACATGACATGACATGTATTTCAGCGATGTTCGCTATTAGTTGAACAATATCGAACTTTGAGAGTAACTTCGCTGTATACGAAAATTGATGGAGTGGGGGTAAAAAGCCAGCTTTGATATGAGTATATGTATTGCGTGGTCTACAATGGGCAGTAGCAGTAGTGAATTAAGGAGTAGGTGCAGAAATCGACTAATCGTAGTTGATTATCTTTCTCACATTCGATTATGATTGGTTGATTTCTGCGTCTACTCCTTAATCCACTACTGCTACTGCCCATTGTAGACCACGCATAATGTAAACTATAGATTTTTAGTACTTAAAATTTATAATTTACATTACATATACTATAGATTTTCGATATTCGTAGCGAATAACGGATTGCAACCTTTAATGTATATATATAACTATAATGAAGAATATAATCAATTTCTACATTCTAGATTTCACTGTGTGATACAATGTATGAT